GGCAACATATAGATGGGTTTTGTTTTTTTATCCATTCTGATACCCTGTGTCTTTTGATTGGGGCATTTAGCCCATTAACATTCAGGGTAACTATTGAGAGATATGAATTTAGTGCCATTGTATTGCCTGTAAGCTGACTGTTATAATATATTGTTTCTGTTCCTTTCTAATCTACTACTTTTAGGCTCTCTCTTTGCTTAGAGGACCCCTTTCTATATTTCCTGTAGAGCTGGCTTGGTGTTTGCAAATTCTTTCAGTTTTTGTTTGTCCTGGAAGCTTTTAATCTCTCCTTCTATTTTCAATGATAGCCTAGCTGGATATAGTATTCTTGGCTGCATGTTTTTCTCATTTAGTGCTCTGAATATATCATGCCAGCTCTTTCTGGCCTGCCAGGTCTCTGTGGATAAGTCTGCTGCCAATCTAATATTTTTACCATTGTATGTTACAGACTTCTTTTCCCGGGCTGCTTTCAGGATTTTCTCTTTGTCACTAAGACTTGTAAATTTTACTCTTAGGTGACGGGGTGTAGACCTATTCTTATTGATCTTGAGGGGGGTTCTCTGAACATCCTGGATTTTGATGCTTGTTTCCTTTGCCATATTGGGGAAATTCTCTCCAATAATTCTCTCCAATATACCTTCTGTTCCCCTCTCTCTTTCTTCTTCTTCTGGAATCCCAATTATTCTAATGTTGTTTCATCTTATGGTGTCATTTATCTCTCGAATTCTCCCCTCGTGGTTCAGCAGCTGTTTGTCCCTCTTTTGCTCAGCTTCTTTATTCTCTGTCATTTGGTCTTCTATATCGCTAATTCTTTCTTCTGCCTCATTTATCCTAGCAGTGAGAGCCTCCATTTTTGATTGCACCTCATTAATAGCTTTTTTGATTTCAACTTGGTTAGATTTTAGTTCTTTTATTTCTCCAGAAAGGCCTTTTATATCTCCCGAGAGGGTTTCTCTAATATCTTCCATGCCTTTTTCGAGCCCGGCTAGAACCTTGAGAATCGTCATTCTGAACTCTAGATCTGACATATTACCAATGTCTGTATTGATTAGGTCCCTAGCCTTTGGTACTGCCTCTTGTTCTTTTTTTTGTGGTGAATTTTTCTGCCTTGTCATTTTGTCCAGATACGAGTATATGAAGGAACTAGTAAAATACTAAAAGGGTGGCAACAACCCCAGGAAAATATGCTTTAGCCAAATCAGAAGAGATCCCAAATCGTGAGGGGGGGGGAAGGGGATAAAAAGAGGTTCAGAAAGAAAAAAAAAAGGAAAAAAGACAAAAGAAACAAATAAAAAAAGAAAACCAATAATGAAAAAATATAAAAAGGAAAAAAATATATATATATTAGATAAACTAGTTAAAAAATTAAAGGGTAAAAGTTAAAAAAATTTAGCAGAAGAAGAGAAAAAAAATTGAAAAAGAAAAAAAAATTAACTGCATGGCTAAACAATCATGGGGAGAAAGCCATGAGTTCCGTGCTTTGCTTTCTCCTCCTCTGGAATTCCGCTGCTCTCCTTGGTATTGAAACTGCACTCCTCGTAAGTGAACTTGGTCCTGGCTGGGTTTCTTGTTGATCTTCTAGGGGAGGGGCCTGTTGTAGTGATTCTCAAGTGTCTTTGCCCCAGGCGGAATTACACCACCCTTACAGGGGCCGGGCTGAGTAATCCGCTCGGGTTTGCTTTCGGGAGCTTTTGTTCCCTGAGCGCCTTCCGTAGAGTTCCGGAGGACGGGAATGAAGATGGCGGCCTCCCAGTCTCTGGCCCGGAGGAGCCAAGAGCCCAGGGCCCCACTCTTCAGTGCGCCCTCAGAGAACAGCGCCCAATTACTCCCGTCACCCTGGCCTCTGGCCGCGCTCCGAGCTGACCGAGCCTGCGACCGGTTCAAGGTAACCCCGAGCTGAGAGTCACTCCTCGGCTCTGTCTCTGTAGCCGGCTTCCCCGTTCTAATACCTGCAAGCTCTGCGACACTCAGACACCCCGATCCTTCTGTGACCCTGCGGGACCTGAGGCCACACTGGCCCCGCGTGGGCTTCACCCTGGTTAAGCCTCTGGAGCGATGTCCCTCAGCGGAACAGACTTTTTAAAGTCCTGATTTTGTGCTTCGTTGCTCCGCCACTTGCCGGGAGCCGGCCCCTCCCCCCGCGGTCTATCTTCCCGTCGCTTTGTATTCACTTCTCTGCCAGTCCTACCTTTCAGAAAGTGGTTGATTTTCTGTTTCTAGAATTGCTGTTCTTCTTCTCTTCGATCTCCCGTTGGATTTGTAGGTGTTTGCAATCTTTAGATAAGCTATCTAGCTGATCTCCCGCAACCTGAAGTAGTCTCAGCCTGCTACTTCTCCGCCATCTTGACTCCTCCCCAGCACAGCACCTTTTTTGAAGCTATCCTTTTCCCCAAGGAATTGTGTTGGCACCTTTGTCAAAAATCAATTGATGAGAAATATAAGAGTTTTTTCTAGACTCTCACTTCTGTTTCATTTTTCTATATGTCTATCTTTACACTGTCTTAATAAATGTAGGTTTATAGTAAGTTTTGAAATTGGAAGATGAAAGTCCTCCAACTTAGTTCTTTTTCAGAATTGTTTTGGTTGCTCTAGGTATTTTGAATTTCCATTTAACTAAACTCCTATTTTTATAGATGAGGAAACTAAAGTGCCCAGAGAACTTATGGTTTAAAACAAGAGTCCAAATAATTTTTTTAAGATTTTATTTATTTATTTGACACAGAGAGAGTGAGCAAGAAAGGCAGAGACAGAGAGCAAGCACAGGCAGGAGGAAAGGCAGGCAGGGGAGAAGCAGGCTCCCAGCTGAGCAAGGAGCCCAATGTAGGGCTCGATCCCAGGATCCTGGCATCATGACCTGAGCTAAAGGCAGCTGTTTAACCAACTGAGCCACCCTGGCACCCCAAGAGTCCAAATAATTTTGTGCTAGCCTTCTTACATTTCAAAACTCATGCCTTGTAGTAACTCATTGTGGCTCTACTTTAAAAACTCATAGTATTCATCTTATTTTATTTTTCATTCGCTTCCCCTGTGTTCATCTCTATTGTTTCTTGAATTCCATATATGAGTGTATTTATATTGTATTTATATTGTATTTGTCTTTCTCTGACTGACTTATTTTGCTTAGCATAATACCCTCTAGTTCCATCTATGTCATTGCAAATGGCAAGATTTCATTCTTTTTGATAGCTGAATAATATTCCATTATATAAATATATACACCCCATATCTTCTTTATCCATTCTTCTGTTGATGGGCATCTGAGATCTTTCCATATTTTGGCTATTGTGGACGTTGCTGCTATAAACATTATAAACATTAGTGTGCATGTACCCCTTCATATCACTGTTTGTATCCTTTGGATAAATACCTAGTAGTCTAACTGCTAGGTCATAGGATAGCTCTATTTTTAAACAGAGAGGGAGATAAACCATAAAGGAGTCTTAACTATAGGGAACAAACTGAAGGTTGCTGGAGGGGAGGCAGGTAGAGGGATAGGGTAACATGATGGGCATTAAGGAGGGCATTTGAAGTAATAAGCACTGAGTGTTGTATGCAACTGATGAATCATTGAGTACTACCCCTGAAACTAATAATACAATAATAATAATATAGTAATAATAAACAATGTAAATTGTGTTTAAATTTTAAAAATTAAAGAAATAAGAAAGTGAGTGAGTGAGTGAAGAATTTAGGGAAGTAAACTGAGTTCAAGGGTCATACTTCTAAATTGCCTTGATGACTTCCAAAAGGAAGCTTGTGCAATGGAAGAATATATCTCATTATACAGTACATGGAATAATAGTAACTATAAAATACAACACTTCTATTACTTTTTTTAGGCATCCACATCATAATCAGGCATAAAAGCTTAAGGTCTGGAATAGTATACAAGAATAACAAAGAATGATTATGTACTGTATTTATTAAAATATACATACATCTGATTTAATATCAGTAAAAGGATTAAAATAGTAAAAAAAAAAAAAACCTCATAGTAAACTCTATCCAAACTCTATAATGATTGTAAGCCCCTGCCTGTTTTTATCAGAGATCTTAAGTCAGTAGAACCCTGACCTTCCCACCTCCACCCTAAGTCTCCTGACATCCTTTGCCTGTCCCATATTCCCTCTACTGGCTCCTCTACAATCTGCCTTGTATACTTAGCTCTATTCTGTGGCACTGGTTTAATATACACGTCTTGAAAAATCCTTTCACTTTGCCAGAAAAGTTACGTTTCAAATATATTGCAGTATAAGAGTCATATGCTTCAAATGAAATTGATCCCAAGCAGCTGAAATTTTATGCTCCTGGCATGGCACTTGCCAGACTAGCTGGTGTGTATAAACCAGTTATGCTCATAGTTTAAGAATTTGCTTTCTGAATATAGCCTGTGTCTTCCAAGTCTGAGCTGTTATCAGAATCAAGGAAAAGCAACAAACTGAGGTGATCCTGAGGCTTCCAGAGGGTCAGGAACCCATTTCAATAGGTATTTGCATAAGGATTCAAGTTACGTTACCCTAGCATCCCTTCTTGTGTCCAGTTACCATTTGACATGACCCCTCTCTATAAGAAGGCACTTGAAGATGGTACTGGCACAAATATAGACACATAGATCAATGGAACATAATAGAGAGTCCAGAAATAAACCTATGATTATATAGTCAATTAATCTACAACAAAGGAGGCATAAATATGCAATAGGCAATGTCTCTTCAACAAATGATGTTGGGAAAACTGGACAGCTACATGCAAAAGAATGAAACTAGACCACTTTCTTACACCATACATAAAAATAAACTCAAAATGGATTAAGGACCTAAGTATGAGACCTGAAACCATAAATATCCTAGAAGAGAGCTCAAGCAGTAATTTCTCTGACATAGGCTGTAACAACATTTTTCTAGGTATGTCTCCTCTGGCAAGGAAAAAAAAAAGGAAAAATAAACCTTTGGGACTACATCAAAATAAAAAGCTTTTGCACAACAAAGGAAACAATTAGCAAAACAAAAAGATAATCTACTCAATGGAAGAAGATATTTGCAAATGATATATCCAATAAGGGTTGGTATCCAAAATATAAAGAATTTATGCAGTTCATCACCAGAAAAACAAATAATCCAGTTAAAATGGGCAGAAGATGTGAACAGACATTTCTCCAAAGAACACATACAGATGGCCAACAGATACATGAAAAGATGCTCGGTATCACTAATCATCAGGGAAATGCATATCAAAACATCAATGAGATAATGTCTCACACTTATCTGAATGGCTACAATCAAAAACACAAGAAACAAGTGTTGGCAAGGATGTGGAGAAAGGAGCCCTCTTTCACTGTTGGGAAGGCAAGCTGGTGCAACCACTCTGGAAAACAATATAGAGTTTCCTCAAAAAATTAAACATAGAATTATCATATAATCTAGTAATTCCACTCTGGCTATTTACCCAAAGAAAATGAAAACACTAAATCAAAAAGATATATGTATCCTTCTGTTTATTGCAACATTATTTACAATAGCCAATATATGGAAGCAACCCAAGTGTCCATCCTTAGATGAATGGATAAAGATATCCATTCCATAGATATACAATGGAATATTACTCAGCCATAAAACATAATGAAATCTCGCCATTTGCAACAACATGGTTGAATCTAAAGTGTGTAATACTAAATGAAATAACTGAGAGAAAGACAAATACCGTATGATTTCATTTATATGTGGAATTTAAGAAACAAAACAAATGAAGAGAAAATAGACAAACCAAAAAATAAACTCTTAAGTATAGAGAATAAATTGATGGTTACCAGAGGGGATGAGTATAATAGTTGATGGGGTTAAAGAGTGCACTTGTCATGATGAGCACTGAGTAATGTGTAGAATTGTTAAATCACTATATTGTACACCTGAAACTAATAAAACACTGTATGTTAATTATACCAAAATTAAAAAAAAAAAACTTTTTTTTTAAAAAGGAAGGCACTTGAGGAAAAAGATGGTGTTTCCTCTTGCTTTTCTTCATTTATATTATTCACCTTCTGACTACCTTTCTCTACCCTTACCTCCCTATAGTAGCCGCTTTAAGAACAAGATGTGGTATGGCCTTCTGGGGAGCAAGGAACTTTTCCATCGCTCTTACAGGAAACTAGAAGAACGAGTACACCTGGAGGTGAGTGGAAAAGAGGGCAGTACTTCCTAGACATGTGGAAAGGAAATCTCATTACTTTGGGAATCAGCTTTTCCCTTTATCTTTGGTTCTCCCCAAGCTTTAACTCTGATCTTCCCTCACAGCTTATGGGAGGAAGGCATAAAGACAGATTTCCATTTTATGGATAAGAAAATGATAACATGAAGATAAAACAGAGCTCTTCCCCCATCTCTGTAAATGTCCCTCTGCATTGGTATCTGAACAGCCAACCAATGAGAACTACTTTTCTTTCAGTGTGATGGAGAAGCTATCTCCTTGCCAAACCTGCAGGGCATTGTAGTGCTCAACATTACCAGCTATGCTGGAGGTGTCAACTTTTGGGGAAGCAGCGCAGCAACTGCAGTGAGTATGGAATAAGGAACAGGGAAGGAAAAAGGCTTGACCCCTCTAAGGTCTCTCAGAAAGTGTAGCTAGAATGACTGGTATAGAAAGTAGACAGTGGGGGAATAGGAGATAGACTGGGGACATTTATTAGCTCCGTTATGTGATCAGGGTTTTTTTTTTTTTTTTAAAGGCAATTACAATCCCAGAACACAAGAATCAACAAGCAAAGACCTCAGGATCAGATCAATTCTTAGGTGTTGCCTAGACTTTGAATTTTCTATTCCTCAAGACTGAAAGATCCTTAAAAGTTTTCTCTTTTCTCCAAGGAGTTCTGTCAGTAAAACCACCTGGGAAATTGGCCATGACTCCTTTCTTCTGAGCTCACCCAAGAAGATCATGAGGACAGTGGGACTGGCCTTGGGGATTTATGATGCTAGATTGGACAGGGAGGAACAAGCTAAGAGTTGTAATCTCAAAAGAGGTTAAAGAACTGTGATCTTGGTGCCCTTTTCCCAGATTGGCTTCCTGACCTCATCTTTCCCCCTTTAATATGTAGTTTTTCCATTCTTCATGAGCTAGAAAAATTCTAACCAGGAGCCTTCACAGCATGTGTGCTTGTGATAGTCAGGGTGTGGTTTCTCAAAGGTGGGATATGTGACACAGTTTTTCCTTCTCAGGAATATGAGGCTCCTGCAATAGATGATGGGAAGCTGGAGGTAGTGGCTATCTTTGGTTCTGTACAAATGGCAATGTCCCGTATCATTAACCTGCATCATCATCGCATCGCCCAGGTAGGCAAGGGTTGGGTGGGCACCAGAAAAGGTTGGGCTTTGAGCTACAACTTAGAATGTGGAATAACTGGGTCTAAGAGTGCCAGGGTGGAGAGAGGTTATATGGTGGGTGGTAAGCATGCTGGCTAAGGTTGGAGACAGAAGTTATAGGGTCCAAAAGGAGCAAAAATCCCATAGGAAACAGGTGTTTTTCCCTGAGATAATCTGATTCACATCCATGCCAGTCCTGCTTCAGATACACATTAAGGCCATTACTGTGAGATTATCATATTGATCTGTAGTAGTGGCCTCATTTTTCTCCCCCATGCTCCCTCTTCTCTGGCAGTGCCATGAGGTGATGATAACCATTGATGGTGAAGAAGGTATCCCAGTGCAGGTGGATGGAGAGGCCTGGATTCAGAGGCCAGGCCTTATCAAGATTAGATACAAGAATGCTGCCCAAATGTTGACCAGAGATCGGGTAAGAAAGTCTCACCTTTCTCTTTTATTATCTCCTCTATAGCTGTCACTTCCCACACCAGACACACTGAATCAGAATGGGGTTGGGTAGTTCTTGGGAATTGCATTTGTCAATAAGCTCTCTGAGACATTCTGTTATATACAGACATTTGCAAACCACTATCCAAGACAGTGAGACAAGAAGTTCTCTCCTTTGGTTTTGGACAAAGTTGTTCCTCTCCCACCACTGCACAGAGAACTAAATGCCTCAAATAGCTATGGAGAGATCTCCTTGAACAAGAGATTCTTCATTGATTATGGTCTTTAAGTTCCTCTAAGATTGAAAATGCTGCATTTGCAAATGCCATCTACTGCAGTCAAACCATCTAAAGCTAGAAAGAAGCCATTATTGATCAGATGTTCAGTACCTGGAGCCTTTCTTCCACTCTGACCCATGAACTATCCATAGAAATAACAATAGAGAAGGGAGGGGAAGTCTGGTTTACAAACAGCTTACTTTGTGCCAGGTGCATGTATTCTCTCAAGTAGGTCCTCCCACCAATCCTGTGAGGTAGATATTCTTGTGCCTATTTTACAGGTGAGGAAAATGAAAACCAGAGGTTAAATAATGTGTGCTAAAAATCACACAACCAGTGAGTGACAGAAGCACAATTCAAAATTAAACTACGTATGTCTGGCTCTAGAGTCCATCACAACAGGAGCACCTGGGTGGCTCAGTTTGTTGAGCAGCTGCCTTTGACTTAGGTTGTGATCCTGGGGTCCTGGGATCAAGCCCCACGTCAGGCTCCGCACTCAGCAGGACATCTGCTTCTACCTTTCCTATCTCTCCCTCTGCCCCCACTTTTTCTGCTCACTTCTCTCTCTCTTAAATAAATAAATAAATAAAATCTTTTTAAAAAATCCATCATAACATATGGCCTAGATTTGGGAAAGAAAGGAACATGAAAGATGCACCATTGTCTTATGATTATGATACTCTCATATAGGAGCTTCTAGAAGGTTAACATCTCTCTGACTGAAGCATGTGATCCCAAGACACATCACAGTAACAATAAAAATTAACAGTGCCTAGTAAGAAAGGGATAGTGAATAAAATGAAGGATAGATGTGGAGGTGTGTAGATGAGTGTATAGAAGAATGAGTGGGGTCACTCTCTCCTTTACCCATTATCCCCACAAATATCAGACTCACAAACAGATTTGTCAAGTACCCTCTAAGCTATAGTGATCATCAGGATCTGCCACTATCTTCATTTTTAGGACTTTGAGAACTCAATGAAAATGTGGGAGTGCAAGCATGGTGAAATTCAAGCTGCCTCTCAACCTCATCTGGACTCCCAGGAATCTCAGGATAGCCTCTCTGATGAGGAATATGCCCAAATGCAGCACTTAGCTCGACTTGCAGAAAACCTCATCAGCAGGTAAGCGGACTGGCCCAGATACAGGGTGGGAATCCCAAGAACAGTTAGGGACAAGAAGCTAACCTGTGTCTGTCGGCTCCTAGGGAGCCTGGCCCCAGAAAGGAGTCTTTCCCAGAGCTCTGAAGATTGGCAGGGACCCTGACGATCCAGGGAGGAATAGTCTTTGTGCTCAGCAATAAGCCAGTTTGAACCTCTTCCTTTAGCCCCAGAGGTGAATTTGATCTCCTGATGCCCCAAACCCAGAGGACTAAGAATATTTATCCTTGCCCTTAAATATCAAGAGGGCCTCAGAGTTCTTGGAGTCAGCTTCCCTTCTGTAGCCTGGCCTCCCACTCTCCCAAAGTACCCGGTATCTAATTCAGGTGACATAAGGATGGACAAAGACAAATACCTAGAAAAGATCAGAAACATTTTCTGGTGTAGTTAGCTACCCAACCCAGGTACCCAGGGATCTCGTTTCTACCTTCATCTCAACCATCTCCAGCACCCCAAGCCAGAAGATTTTTAAAGCTTTCTGGACCCATTTATCTGTTCTTGCTTTATTACAGACTTACTGACCTGAGTAAGGTCCACCAGCATGTGTCTGTTCTCATGGATTCTGTGAATGCCAGTGCTAACATCCTGAATGATATATTTTACAGCCAGGATAGTGGCAATGAGGCAGGTGCAGCTTCCTGCATTCCCAATGAGGTAAGAAAGGAAGGGGCAGATGAAGAAAAAGAGTCAAACCAAGTAGGAAGGGGGATGAAAGTGAAGAAAAGTGAGCCAGAGGCTGGGTGGAGAAACTGGGCAAATGATATGGCAGGAAACTGATCGATAGAATAGACAGGGAATAGAGGTATTCCTTAACTCGTTACAGATGAAAGTGGCTACTGGGGAAATTCCATAGCAGATTTCATCAGCCTGAGAGCTAGCCCTTTTCCTGAGAGCTATCAACAATACTGGCCTCTTGGGAGAAATAGCCAATGGATAGAGAGAAACTTGGCATTGGCACTTCCTCATGCCAAGTGGATCCCTGTATAAACTCTTATGGTGATGCCTGCCATAGAAACCCGAGCTCCAGGCTGCCTTGGTTTCCCTCTTGAGGGAAATTTCCAGATTGGGATATTTGATGTTAAATGTGCTGACCCATGACTTTACCCACTGCCAGAAAATTTAAGTGATTCTTTTAAAAAAGTAACTTTAGTGGTAGACAAACAATACAAAAGAGTCACATATAGGATCAAGGCCGCCTAAAACATGGATTGCCTATTTATTTTCAACCAGACTTAGTTGGTGGAGGCCTGGAGCTCAAAGCCCAGAGTTTTGAAAAGGGTGGTTGGGCCTAATCCTACCTCCCATGGGAAAGGAGGTTTTAGTGTAGCAGCAACAAGTAGCCTCAGATTTACTCTCTGGTTTACATATTTCCTATTTTACTACATCCACCGCAGTCAGTCAATGGTGCCAAGTGCCAAGGTGTGCTGCACCACTTTGTAGGATACACAAATACAGCTGTACCAGTAGTTGACAGCTCTGGTTATGTCAGTTCTGATTGGCTGATGTCCATGCTGTACTAGTTGTGCTATATTTTGAATATTACTTTTTCACCTATGGCCATATCCTACTAGCCTGCTCCTACCTTCCTACAGAAAAGCCAGCTGCATGCTTACTAACCAACAACTCCTCTGTCTTTGCCCTTTCCCTTCCTTTCTTTTCCTTTCTTCTCTCAGACTCTAAGCAGAAATGATGCAGTAGATGTTACATTTAGTCTTAAAGGGCTCTACAATGACACCAAAGCTTTCCTGGATGAAAAATTGGTGAGTGGAGGGGGTTGGAATGAGGGAGGGCAAAGTGTTCCATCTGAACGTGGTTATGGTCTATGCTTGGTTCTAGGGTGTTGGAAGACATGTAGAACATTTTGGCCAGGTGCTTACCTGGTAGTCCCTGTTTGTCATCCTCACCCAGGGTTGTTATTGATTGTGTCAACTCACCATTATGCTAATCCGTAGTGACTACCATATCCTTGAAGAAAAGTCTCTCCCTCTCCTTTGGTAAATGTCTCCTGGGTCCAGACCAGGTCAATCAAAAGTAGGGTGTTCTCATTATACTTCACACAGGTTCAGTAGAAGGGAGTGAACTCTTTTGAGCTGCTCTATATCTCCCAAGTTTCCATATACCTCTGTCACCATGTGGGAAGACAATATAGACTAGTGGGGAGCACTAAGTTCAAATCTCCAATCTGCCACTCACTAATTCCATTCATTTCATAAGGTTGCTCTAAGAAAGTGCTGAAACCTTGGTAACTTAAAACAACAGAAATTTATTGCCTCACAGTTTTGGAGGCTAGAAGCTGAAATCACCATGTCATCAGGGCCATATGCCCTCTGAAACGTGTAGGCAAATCCTTCCTTGCCTTTTCTAACTTCTGGTGACTTGCCAGCCATCTTTGGTGCTCATTGGCTTGTAGATGCGTTACTCCAGTCCTCCATCTTTACATGGTATTCTCCATGTGTCTCTGTCTTCACATGACCATCTTCTTATAAGGAAACCAGTCATACTGGATCAGGTACCTACCCTATACCAGTATGGAGTATGGCATCAGCAATGATAGCATTTCCAAATAAGATCATATTCTGAGGTACTGGGGGCTAGAATTTCAACATATCTTTCTTGTGGTGGGGACACAATTGAATCCTTAACACTAGCTGTGTGAAGCAACCTCACATCTCTGGGTCTTGGTTTCTTTATCTATGAAATAGTAATTGTAATCTCTACCTCTCCAGGTTGTTGTGAGAATTAAATTAACTATTGTATATTAAGTGCATAGCTGGCCTGGCACTAGTAGCAGCCTGATACATGGTAGATTTTATTCATGTTAGGGAAAATGGACTGAAGCTCAGTTTTTGAGCTACAAGAATAGTTGAATGGTTCTCATAATGCAAACCCTATAGGCACACTTGACGAGTGTGCTCTGATGAGTCAACTGATTGTGACCACCCCACTTTTGGGTTGGCTGCTAAAGCCCTGAGGCAGGTGCTGTTCTTGCCTCTCATCTAATTAAGGTTTATTTGAAGAGGGGTGTCTGAGTTGATATTGCAAGAAGGGCATCCACTTCCCCTTTTCCATTTGCACATCTAATTGGCACACTGCACAGGCGGCAAAGTGGCTAAAGCAATCAGGCCAGGCCTTCCCAGCATCTGAGCCCCAAGCTAGAATCTTTCAGCCTTAAACAACAACAACACAAGTACCTTCTATATATAGGCAGAGCTCAGTCGCCTTGCAATCCGAACAGCAGGAAATATGAGATCTTGGCCTCTCATTGCCATTCAGGCTTTCTTGAAGCTCATGGCATGAAAGTTGGTTTGTGCCAGCCAACAACCCAAATTGAGCATATACCACACTTAATACAGGTTGAGGATATGATAAGGACCCCCACACACATACACACATCCAAATGAGACCAGGGGCAGGCAGCAGCTAAGAATGATCATGTATCTCCAAAAAGGCTACATCAGAGGTGGCATGGAAATAAAGCTTATTTCATTTTGGTGTCTTATTCTTCCCCTTGAAGAAGGAGGGCAGTAAGCAGCTCAGTGTCAGAGGGATGTAGATTTATGATGAAGTAAATCCCACCCAGTAACCGCCACTTTCTTTATTTGGAAACCTCACTTATACTATGGCCAGTGATGTGTTAGAACAGAAACCAAGAAATAAGCAATGAAGTCCTCTGAGTCAGTTCACACAATTACCTCAGAGAGTCCTGAACAAGGTCTCCTATAGAGCCAGAAGGATACGAGAATAGAGCATGAGACTCAAACCCACCACCTAGAATTTTTCAAAGCCTGAGTCCCTGTATGCTAAACAGGAAGTCATTGGGAAGCCATTTTTTTTCTCCTATTATGATTAGAAATGATTTTCCAGGGCTCTAAATCCTTCTTTCTCATATGTGGCTTTGGGTTTGACTACCAAACCCCTTTTGAGCATTGCTGGTAAGTATGCCCTTTCTCCCTTACCTTGAAGTGATAGCCATTTCTACCTGACATGTGCTATCCTCCTTCTTACCCCCCATGTGCACACACATGTTCTGTGCATCTGAGATACTCTGTACTGTCTTAAATCATTAGTTGTAAAGCAAAAGATTATTTGTCAGCACTGACTTGTTTCTCTCTCATATCCCATTCTAATTGACCATAATCTCCAACCCCATCCCCCACCTATTTACCTGCCATCCATTTTGTGATAGTTGGCAATACTCCATTTATGGCTGGAGCATCAAGTGGCCCATGCACAGCTAGAAGCCACATGAGTGCCAGATTGAAAGTAAAGTATATGACAGGGAGGAGAGGTGAGGCCAAGTTAGGTGGGCTGGAAAGTATGTCAGGGCTGACGATAGCAACGTGCATCTGTTCTCTCAGCTCACCATTTAATGGAACATAACTATCTCAGCTATGTTGCTGGTCTAGGACTTGGTTCTTCTGAGTTGGAAGATGGTCCCAGAAGAATTCATTTTAATTCTCACATGGACTGTACAGAGTTCATCCTGTGGGTTATGGGGATTATTAGGGAATGCTTAAGCTTTGTTTCCTGAACCTGTAAGACAAGCCATCTGGATCACATTTCTAAATTACAAAGAGAGACTAGCTAGGGGCTAACGCACAGCTTGGGGGGCACCTGGGTGGCTCAGTTGGTTAAGTATCTGCCTTAGGCTCAGGTCATGATTCCAGGGTCCTGGGATCAAGTCCCACATCGGGCTCCTTGCTTGGCAGAAAGCCTGCTTCTCCTGCCTGCCACTCCCCCCGCTTCCCCTGCTTGTGCGCTCTCACTCTCTCTATATATATATACATATATTATCTCATTTTGACAAATAAATAAAATCTTTTAAAATTAATAGATAAATACATGATAGATAAATAGATGATAGAGAGATAAGTAAAGAGAGAAACACAGCTTGGGGAGGCAGACTCTCTTTGCCAGAAAGGGAAAATTTAAGCCAATCTCTATCTAGCCTTCTCCTTACTTCACAAAGGAGCCTTTATATTATGGTAACTGTATAATAAAGATTTCTCCCAGCATCTAACCACCTCACATATCTTTCCTGGGTGGGCACTGTGGTATATAGGGTAGGCTATAGAGTTAAACAAATCTGAGGTTCTATCTAGCCACATGATCTTGAGCACCAAACTTCTTTGAGTCTGTTTTCTTGTCTATAAAATGAGAATAGTATTATAAAGTTATTGGGAAGATAGAATGATATCATGTATGCAAAATGCCTGGTATACAGCATGTACTAGAAATTGGTAGCTGTTATTTAGGGGGACAATTAGGTGTCTCTGGGGACTTGAGGGTCAGGGGTAAGACCTTGTTCTGGACCCTGAGCTGTAGGGGTATAACTCAAGTGATCGTTGATACTGGTCAAAGGCCTCTCTGCTTGCCAGACTGTGAGCGTGCCCAGCCCCAAGGAAATTACCACAATATGGTTGTTTCCTAGATCTCCCTATTGAGAAAGTAAAGAGCTAGCTATACCTTTCACTAATCCCATGGCCAAAGGAGATACAAGTTGGCACCCTGTGATCTCGTGACCACTAGCATGGTGGCCTGGGAGTGTGGGAGAGAGCCAGACTTTATGAGGGCAAGGTGTTGGGCATTGGATACTCACTCTTTTTCTTGTCTTTACCAGCTGAGAAATGCTGAGGATGAGGCCACACTTCAAACTGCCCTGGAAACCATGAATAAGGAGCTTGAAAAGCTATCTGAGATTGACTGGATGAATTCAATCCTTGTTTCAGAGGTGTGTTAACTGGGGATTAGGAAATAAAGAGGAAGAGGTCTTCTTCCTTGGTTCCTTCCAGTGTCGGCCAGGACACAGTGACTGATGTAGCAGAAGGTGTCCAGTAGTGGCTTTCAGCTTGAGCTTGAAGGAATGCCCTCCTCCCATCTCCTCATCATAAGCAGAGAGGACATGGTAGAAAGCACGTTGAAAAATTAGATGACCATGGGAAAAAAAAAAAAAAAGAAGAGCTACTCTGTGGCAGGAGATGATTGGGAAAGAATAAGCAAGATTGGTTTTTTCTATACTGTCCTCTGGTCACAATTCCCCCTCCCTGCCCAATACCTGCTACTAGGAACTGGATTTCATCTGGCACATACCATTATGGCCAATACCAGTTGTTTGCAGCCAACATCTGTTCTAAATGGTTGGTGCCTAGGCCATGTGAGTGGTTAAAACACCTCTCTCTGCTGATTCCTGTCCCTCCCACTCTGGGAGGGAGGCTAACCTTCCCTTAGCAGGTGTGTGGTTTAAAAGAAAAGCATGGCAGGAGTGGCTGCAGAATAACTGTGGGGATACTGTCATTTTTGGAGAGTCAGATCAGGAAGAGTTGGAGGACAGGTTTATACTCTCTCTAATGGAGAGGATTGGAGGTATAAATATCTTGAAAAGATAAAAGTCCCAATGTTTCTTGGAAAGTGTTTGGCTGGACTTTCTGGCAACAAAGTTAACCTGGGAATTATGCTTTACTAAGATCAGTGGTGAAATAAGCACACTTTAGCAGGAATGAGAGGGCTGGGAGGCTAAGCTGGAATTAAAGAGCCCGCATGATCTGTAGATCAGAGAACCCACATTCATAATTAAGAGTTATGTGGGGAGAACCCTCTTTGCATTCTAGACAGGGAAGAAGGTGGCCTGTGAGGCAGGTTCTTCTCTCTGTGAAGGTACTTGACCAAGGAAGTTTGCTTTAGCTCATCAAATCATATTGCTTTTTTTTTCTAATTCGTGCAGAGGTGCCATACGAGCTAGCAGTGGTCCTAGCAATCTCACCCTTCCAATCCCTAGCCACATGTCCTCAGGCAAAATATTTTACCTCTCCAAGCCATTGCTTCTTCACTTCTAAAATAGGGATGATAATAGCCACTTTGCAAGGTTGTTTGGGGGCTTATATGAGAACAATTATTAAAGTATTTAGCAAGGAACCGGCACAGAGTGGGATCTTGGTAAAGATCATTTGCCCTCGTAGGGCAAGGGACTAGTCTCCCACATTTGGATGGATAGCACATCTATCTGCTTTATGCAGCCATCCTTGTTCACCAATTTACCAGGCCTCTAGGAATTGTTTCTCAATGTAGGCAACTAATTCTGACCTTCCTTTTGCTATGGTTTCCCAGGAAAAATCTTCAGACACTGACAGTAGAAGCACCAGAATGAAAGTTAAGTTCCCCAAGTTGGGGAAGAAGAAGCTAGAAGAGGAAGATAAGCCTAAATCAGGCCAAGGAGTCCAGGGTTTTATTGGTAAGTGTTCCCATTCCACAGGCATAGTGGTCATGAAGACTTCCCCAGCAGCTGGGTACCTCCCAGGGGCCTAGAGTTCACATTAGAAATGTTCATGGAGGGGTTCCAGGGTGGCTCAGTGGGTTAAGGCCTCTGCCTTTGGCTCAGGTCATGATCCCAGGGTCCTGGGATTGAGCCCCGCATCGGGCTCTCTGCTCGGCAGGGAGCCTGCTTCCCCCTCTCTCTTTGCCTGCCTCTCCGCCTACTTGTGATATCTCTCTCTGTCAAATAAATAAATAAAATCTTTAAAAAAAAAGAAATGTTCATGGATATGGTGGTAATGGAGGAGATGGGCTGGGAGCCAACCTTAGACAATTCCAAGCAGCCTCTTAGACAAAGTGTGAGTTAAAAAGTGATATGGACAGTGGGAAGAACCTGAGAAGGAACCACGCTATGTGGTCTCTGTGATACTGATAGCTGAAGAGAAAAATGAGACCAGGCAGTCACTTTTCTGCTTGACCCATTCATGTCCTTGGTTGATAAAGTATGACAAAATAGTCATACTTAGATCACTCTCCCAATCAAATACGGCTACAAGCTTTTTGTGTGTGTGTGCTCTAGAAAGCAGTATAGTTTGAGATGGGCTGAGATATCAGTGGTAGGCACCTACAGGGTGAAGAATAGTTTTCTATGACTTCTCTAAACACTGTTTTTCCTTATGTGTAAATCCCTAGAGATGCAAGTTTTCTGTTTCATTTTTTGAATTTTGGTTCCATCCCTTCTTTGGGGTTGGAATTAAGCATAATTGATATGTCAGTGGGGCTCAAAAGAAGGTTCTCCTAGAGTTGTCAGTTACACCAATTCTGATGTCAATGATCTCTACTAAATTTTGGGCCTAGATAACCTGGAAGCTTGAGAGATATACCAACAGTGGACATGGGGGGGAAAGGGATGGAGGGTGGCTGTTTGTTTGTTTCTGAGGAAATGAGAATTTGCACAGATGCCAAGAGAGAATTTCTTGGATCAAACTCAGGTTTGGTCCAACTAGTTCAATTTCCTAAGAATCTTCTGGTTGGGAGGAATGGTATTTCAAAGTCTTTCAGAAGACTCCGAAGGGGTCAATAGCATTTCCACAGATTATCATGTTCAGAGGACTCATCCCATTTGTGTTTGGCTCACATGGTGACAGCTGGTATTCTTGGATGATTTAGAGATGGTTGGTACAATAAGAACAAACCAGTCTGTCTCCTAACAGACTCTTTGTTGGCTCTCTTTAGGGCCCATACATTTGGGTATCTGACAATATGCTAACATTATTTCTATACTGGTTTTTTCTCTAAAGGACGTTTGTGGCATCACCGAAGTCATGAAGATAAAGCAAAAGATGATGATCCTCCAACATAATCAATTCAACTGTAGTCCTTAAAAGCTGGAAGGAGAACTCACAATGTTTGGAATTCCACTACAAAACTCTGAAAACCTCACTATAGGCTAGACTAAATTATTTCAGAATAAACATGAGCACCACCAAGAAAGATCGTCCAATTCTTCACACTAATATGATTTTCCTGGACTCAATCCGGTCTCCTTAGAGGTTTACATTTTCTCATTGGCCAAAGATTCTTGTTCCGAGTTGTTTTGTTCAGTTCTCCTTGTCTGTGCATCTCGAGCAACTACAGTATTTCACTGGGATGAGCTCATTATGAATGGCCTGGGATCTACAAAGGATTCAAGAAAGTTCACCTCTTCAGGGAATTTGGGAACAGTTTTCTCTGATAAGCAGAGAAACTGTTGATGCTAGGGAATGAATGAAAGAAAGAAATACTCTCAGGGAGATAAGGAGAGGGATGAGGACAGCCAGGCTTGGTTGTTTCTCCCCCAATCCCTGCCAGTTGCAGCTTGTAACTTCAGGAGGTCTCTTCTATTTGTCTTATTAAGATGAAAACTAGGTCCTGGGGGCTTGTCCACTTGCCTGTTACAATGACCATGTGAAATCGTTTCTTGTAGACATGGTAACTGCTTTCTCTGCAAACCCTTTGTGTTTTTCCATGTGTGCGTGTATGTCTTTGCACAGGTCTAGGTGGTGCTCTGGTGGCTGGGTGGGCCCATGGATTGGAACTCACCTCTATGGTGACCATATAGGATCCCCTGCTACTGCCTTGACCCTAGTCTGCATGCCTCCATGGAGTGTTTGCCTGCATTCTCGCTGGATTTTGTAACTAAATGTTTTGCCGCTGTGCTGCAGTATAGATTATGTACAGAGACATAAAGATGTGTGTATATATATATATTTTTTCTTTTTAAGAACTGAAGATACAACTCAACCTCTAAGTGACCCTACAATTTATTGTGCTAACCCAGGAATCCCTCCCCACCCTGATCCCATCCCCCACTCCCATTACCCTACACACACATACATGCCTCTACCAACTGCCCTAGTTCTTGGTGGAGCTTCTAATCTTTTGGTGCATTTTCAGCGTCTTAGAAGTGGCTGGGATCTACCTATAGCCCAGCTGATTCTATCTGACGCCCTCCCCCACCGTAAAATTCTGAGCCAGGCCACGGAAGGGGGAACAAAAATACCAACGCCCTAGAGAAGGGGACTAAGCTGGCATGCTGCCTTTTTTGCTCTATTTGTCCTGGACTCTACATCAGCAACTGCCCCAAACTGTGCTGTCCCCTTCTCCAGTAAAGACTATATGGAGCAACCAGGCCTTGAGCTCTGTGACTTAGATGCCTAAGCTAGGGACTGCCTGACAAGTCACAGCCTAGGCCCTTCCCCACAAGCTCCATCTTGGCCTGAGCCTTCTGGACAGGCTGTTGGGTTAGTCCTCAAGTCACCTTTGAATCTCCCATCTTGCTCCTTTCCCTTGAGTACAGAGGGGCATTCAGAGTGATCAGAAAGTACTTGGGCCTGGGAAAATGGAGGCTGAAAGCCTCTGCATTTCCCATGGTTCTTCCAAATTTCTCATGGGAACAAAGTAGGCCAAAATTGCTCCAAATCCCAATTTGCATTTTTTGAATGCCTGCACCCAGTCAGGCAAATCTAATCAAATGCTAGTGTCCAGAGAGATTCTCTCTGGTCTGCCTTGTATACCCACCCCACCCCCTTCAACTCATACCTTTTGTAAGTATCCCTTCCCACTTATCAAGACAAAGCCAGAATACTGGCCTCTCCCCACTTAGACAAACAGCGTGCTCAATTACCTGACTCAGTCCAATGGCTGGTTCATTGAGGTGCACAATCCAGACTCCAACCACTGGTTCTCAACTCTGGAACTTCACCAGCCTAGCCCACTTAAACCAGCCACCTGTGTTCCACCTCTGCAGGGGTGAGGAGAAAAATACTAACAAGGGGATAGTCCCCATACGTCTGATTGCTGCGTCAAACAAACAAAAAAGTTCTAGCTCTACAACTAGAGAAGAAAGTTAATGGAAAAAGATGAGAGAAAACATTTAAAACTTATTTAAGCATCAGAAATATGTTAACTTATTGTATGTATTTGAGTGGGAAGTGTACTGCTGCTGTGTCTTTGGCTTTCCCTGCATCACTTTCTTCCCAGGAGGAGGTATTAGATCAAATCAGCAAGGTCACTATTGCAGCCTGACTTGGCTCCTCTGTGGCTGCATGCATTAACATTTGCACACACAGTCACTCACAGAGTTGGGAACCAAGTTACGTTTTTTTCTCAGAACAGGCTTTTTCAAAACGGAATGTTTCCAAATGAGCAAATTTTAGGAAACAGAAGGAAGTCCTGGGAGAGGGTAGCTTTATCTTGGCAGTGCCTAAGCAGGGCTTTGTCTTGTAATTATTTTTATCACCGATGATAATAAACTGTAATAGGGCTCCATCTCTTGTGCTTACTTTGCTGAGTTACTATATGTCATTGTATATTGTAATGCTACTGTTGCTCTGTGGTATCATCTGGATTCCCTTTCACCCATGCTGTCCTCTCACCTTGAGTCAAGATGATATTGAATGAAACCACTAGGATTTGGGGTTGAAGTCGACTCGAGTAGAATTGATAGCTGATGAGACCCAGGAGCAGGTGTAGCATACTAAACCACTTGGTTACCTCCTAAATTGCCTAACAAGCTGATTCCCAAAAAGGAATGCTGAGCACCTGTTCTTAAATGTACTATCTTGGAAACAAAGCAAGAAGTGGAATCTCTTTCTCAAGAGAGTTGGCTAAGCCTCTATAAGCATAAACTGCTTTTAGAACTTCATTGTTTACTATCTGCAGTAATACAGTTGCTCGGGTGGTGGGACCAGACACCAAATATCCATCTTAATTATGTTCAGAGAGGCCATCACAAGCCAAAGTTCTGGGGTTTGGTTGCATCTTTGGTAGTACTTTCTGAGAGATTGGGCAATTCCTGGCCAGAAGAATAGTGGGGAAAGAGAGTACCAATAGATTTGGACTGGCATCAACTACTTCAGGTATCAATACTACAAAAGGTCAGCAGCTTTCAGTCCCCACTCCCAAAAGGACCTGTGCTATGGCCAAAAGAACAGGGGAAAAATAAAGAAGACATTTTCAACTTATTACTTAGGTTATAGATTGATCAGAAGAAATAGCTGGGGTCAACATCATCTTCCCTAAGGACACAAGTAGAAGAATTTTATAAGAGGTATAAACTAATACCAAAGCAACCAAACCCATGAGCACCATTCCATCCTGTAAAGAACCTTAACTATTTATATGGTTTACGGAATTGCATTTGTGTATCTGTCTGCTAATCTGTAATACATGTTGCTTCCTCTTCTGTGTTTTTTGTTTCCTCAGAGGTCCCTGCAAATAAACAGCAGGGCCAGGGTCTGGTTGGGGGAGGAACCTAGGGTAGTTAGGGGTAATAGAAAAAAAGCAGAAAGAAAAGGTCCATAAAGCGTGCCTATTCCTCCTCCCCACCCCCCAATGGAACACCAGTTCTCAAAGTTAATAAAGTTTTGCTTCTTAAAATATTTTAATAAATAGATAAATGTAATCAACACCAGTGTCTCATTATTTACCTTGGCATGGGAGGAGTTGGATTGTAATGGAAATGGGGCTGCACTTGGGTAGTCATCCAAACTCTAAACAAGTCACACGCACAATAGCAGGTGAGGAGGACAGCAACAGCGCAAGTCAAGAATCTCCATCAGTATGATCATAACATTGAAAAAACTACCACAAAAAGTTCTAAAACCTAGCTCAACTCAAGACAACCCAGTGGAGAAATATCTACCACTATAATTGTTCCAGAACTCCATTCTCTGCGGGATCCATATTTAAAAGAAATGAATTAGTTACTGAAGAGGTGAAATGAGGTAGAGGAGTACAGCCCAGACTGCTAAGTAGATGCATAAATACAAAGAGAACTTTAAAAAACATTTAACAATAAAATCTGCCCCTGTAAGACATATATTGCATAACTCCTCTCCATTCCAAAAGGGTTTGAAGTGGGAAGGAGTGTGTTTTGTTCAGATGAAAAAATAGGTTTAGGCCAAGGATCAAAAATGGCTCAGTTTCTGCCCTGACAGCGACCCTGAAGGCAGCGGCAGTTATTAGTCATATTTCATAGGTAGGCCATTGAGACTGTATTAGACCAGGATTCCACAAAATGCTACATACACTACAGTGAGAATTCAGATCTCCCAAATCCTTGACTTTGCACTATCAAAAACTGTCTCTTACTTAGAGACAAAATGTTGTGACCTTCAGGACCACGTTTCAGTCTCCCACATAAAAACGACATTCTTAGGCTATATGAAAGAACAAGCCCTATTGCTGAGAAACTACCACCAGAGTAGGCCCTGTAATTAATGTTAAGATGCTTAGACTAATCCTGTAGGCTAGTAAATTACCGTCAGAGTACAATTTGTCTCGGTTTTTTATTAATCATTATGCAGTAAAATTGCTTTTTTTTTTTCTTTTGGTGTATAATTCAGTGATTTTTTTTTTAAACATTTTTTCGGGGGGCGCCTGGGTGGCTCAGTGGATTAAAGCCTCTGCCTTCACCTCAGGTCATGATCCCAGGGTCCTGGGATCAAACGCCGCATCGGGCTCTCTGCTCAGGGGGGCAGCCTGCTTCCTCCTCTCTCTCTACCTGCCTCTCTGCCTGCTTGTGATCTCTGTCAAATAAAAAAAATCTTTAAACGTTTTTAAAAAGATTTTATTATTTATTATGTAAATTTATTATATACATTTATCTGTCAAATTAAAAAATCTTTGAACATTTTTTTAAAGATTTTATTTATTTATTTATTTATTTATTTATTTGACAGACAGAGATCACAAGTAGGCAGAGAGGCAGGCAGAGAGAGGAGGAAGCAGGCTCCCCGCTGAGCAGAGAGCCCAATGCCGATGCCGATGCCGGGCTTAATCCCAGGACCCTGGGATCATGACCTGAGCTGAAGGCAGAGGCTTTAATCCACTGAGCCACGCAGGCGCCCCTAATTCAGTGAATTTTTAACACATATAGACATTCGTGTAACCACTGCTATTATCAGGATACTGAACAGTTTCCACTGCCCCAATCAATTTCTTTTATCCTTCCTGATTTTAAGACTTATTCCTTACCTTAACTCTAACCCCTGAACTATTTTCCCTCCCTACCATTTAGTCCTTT